TGGAATCTGAATCAGGAAATATTGTGACGAATTGCGGCACTGATCTGCTCTACGTTGAAACGCATCGCTTCAGAAGCCAACTGCAGTGATTCTCTCGAATTGATTAAATCAATTGTGTTCGTGTGGGCATTGTAGAGCACACTGAATGGACGTTTCATCGTGGCTGTGTAGATTCTGAAATTTTGTTTTTGAAACCACATTTACAAAATAAAACGATGATAACAGAATACTACTTTTTCGTGGATTCACTCGAAATATCAATGTTTAACACAATGAAGATGAGTGTAATTGCGCAGGCATAATAACTTCCTCGTCCACGAAGATGAGATGCTGAGATCAATCGAAATGAAAGATTTCCTCAATCCGGTATAAATTTATAAGTTCGTCAGGGAATCACTATCTTTAGAGGAATGTCGATCGGATTTGAACTGGGGTAGAGCATTTTACCAGTTAATGAAATGAACCAACGTAAACAATAGTCTGAAAGCGATGAGCAATATACCTTAACTTGATGAGCGCTTCTTCGAGATTACGAGTGAAGTAATAACACTCCTGGAAGGTTGTTACCGACGGTACTGTTTTGACCACAAAATCTGGCTCGAAACGATGGACTTTCGACTTGTCGCTAACCGCAAACTGAATTTGGGGTTTAGAATAAAGATATTGCAGATGCTTTTGTTTACTATTCAATATCTCAGATCATACAGGTTTCAGCAACAAATAAAAGCATTAGTATGCCAAATTGTTCCGATCATTTCAACTGAGCAAGCTTCACCAGAATTTCTTGAAAACTCTCGATATATTAGTGGTTTTTCAATCGTTATTGAGAATCGTCAATATATTTCCGAAAATAGATCAAGGGACCCAATGAATTTGAAGAGATGCTTCGAAAAATCTGAGTTTTACGAGATATTTAATGATTTTCGTCGAAGTTTTATAGTCATCAAAGCTCCTAATGCTTGTTGACTTCTTCAACGGGACGGAATAAAAGAATCGCGACGATTTGAATACTAAATCTGCTTTTTGCTTTGCAGATGGCGTACTGATCGTGAGTATTTCCAATGGAACAATTTAAGCATCTTACCTCAAGTTCATCAACGCAAGACAAAAGTCCTGCCCCGTAAACCTTTAGATTTTTCTTTGTCGGTTCGAATTCTGCATCTTCCAGCGAGAGACCGAATTCAATGGTGAAAAAGTACAACTGAAAACTTCTTTCGTTTCAATTGGACGGACGAAATTTTGAATTGTTTGCTTGCAATCGAAAATGCATTATTTCCAGTAAAACTGTCCAATATCACGAAGAAACAAGTGAAAATAAAGCAGGAATACGGTGTTATGTTAAGATGAACATCACAAACTCTAACATATAACTGAAAAGAATTTGAACTTGCATTTCAAATCTCCATCAAATTATTCACCAGGAAGTAAGAAAAATCAAAGTAATCTGCGTGTTCATTTCATGATTGTACCGTACTGTTGGTTAGAATGAGTTCACTTACACGAGCAATTTCCCTGCATTCCTCTTCAGATGCACCCAACGACGCCAGACCGATCTCCTCGGAAAACTGCGCAAAACGTGGGTCAGCAAACATTGCCATATGCCCAAGGAATTCATGAACCATATCGCTGAAAAACGCATAATTTCTGCAATGAGCCAAAATCCAAACTAATTTGAAATTCAATTCCCTTGGAGATCTTGAACTAGTCCGTCACAATCTCCATCACTTCCGAATAATAATTTGTGGAAACGAATCAATTAATTCAATTCGAACAAAATTTTCGGATCTGAAGGCACTTTTTGGAAAAAATTTTCGGAATTTCTCATCGCCAAGTTCTGAAGGCGCTCTCCCCTGTCATTGCATTGTTCATGATCAGTTCATATCGTTTGATCACGATGATTGATCATAAATTGATTGCTTATGATCATAAATAAGATCACTAACGGTTCGGGTGTGTAGAACGGGAATTTGTGGTGTCTCACATACTGCGTACAATTGAACACGCGGAACGCCAATCCGGCCAGAAAATCTCTCGGCGCTTGATAGCCTCCAACGGGACGCAGTGTGAATCCAGATCTTGCTAAAATCCATCTGATGAAAATTGCGTCAATGATGAGTACTCCTGTTTCAATCAGTATTCAGCAATGATATTGATACACCACTCGGTTTCGAGCAAAACTTTCCTCCGCGAACGGGAGCAATTCCCTTTGTGTTCGCGGCGAATACTTTTGCTCGTAACCGACTGGTCTACCAATATCATTGATGTTGTGAGCCTAAGCCAGGCTATGATTTGGCTTGTATCTATTATCTAATTATCATAAATAACATCACTAACGGTTCAGGTGTGAAACTTGATCAGTTTAAATAATAGGAACTTGAGGAGTGAAGCTTGATCAATTTGAGGTGTAAAGCTCGATCAGAACTTGAGGTGTGAAGTTCAGGTGTGAAGCTTGATCAGTTGAAGTTATTGGAACAATTACTTCAACTGGTCAAGCTTCATCGGATCAAGCTTTACAGTATTGGGCAGTAATAGTCTACTATCAGTGGCTCTAATCGCCCTCACAGCTCTCACAAAACCGTTCCAACTCAACCAACGAGTGAATATTTGCTATTATATGACATTTCTGTGCAAGTTTTGATATACTCGCATGATCGGCCGAACAAAATGACTGCATTTTTCAAATTCTCAATTCAGCATTCAACCAACTCTCTAAACGAATTCTCAAAACAGTCTGAAATTCAACCAGAACACTGATTATAACTAGCAAAAATTACAATCTGAACGTTATAGCAAGAAGCGTAAACCTTTAAGAAAGCGTGATACATCGTCAAGTTGCGGTATATTGTCTTCAGAATATCCGCAATATTTCTCGAGTAGCTCGAAATTTTGCAGGAAC